AACGTCTGAATATTCAGTTCATCCAACCATCCACATAAGAGCCTGTGCCAACAGAGATTGGTCAGTCCGATCCTGTACAGCAAAAAGAAAATTTAAGGTATAGGAAAATGATGATAGTGCTAATTTTGATGGTGTTGCATTCCCTAAGCTGAATGATTTAGTCGTGAAGCTTTCACTGCCAGTCTAGACAACCTCATCAGCACAAACTTTAGCGAGAAGTGAGCTATGGAAATTTTTCCACAAGTGGCTTAGTAGCTTGTCCTGATGAACTTGGGTGTAACTGTTTCTTCTGTTAAAATCTTGACATTGTCTCTGTACGTATTTCGATCGGTTTTTCTGCTGACTTGAACTTTGGTCTTCTTGTTGTCTTTTGTTGATTGACAGATCGTGTAAATGTTATTATATCTATTGATTACTGACTCACCAGAATTTCAGGCTTCTAAAAGTTTTTCGACATACTCCTTGTTCCTTCCCTCCAAGATTCCCACATTTTCCCAGTCAAATGCATATCTAAAATTGCCTATCTGCTTTGATATGAGCGAAGATATATCATGATGCTTCACTGTTAGTCGACGTTCATGCAGACTTATATGATGAGGGTGACCTCCAACATAATATTTTTCACAGTTTCTGTAGCCTTTTTTGTAGATAACGTTCGGTTCGGCTTCTTCAGCTACTATTTTTTTCGGTCAGCACAACACAGAGTTGAGAGATTTTGTAGGTTTGTGAGCTACATTGATTCATCTTGATTGTATTGTGTTCTCTAACCTCAGAAAACGCAGTAAAACCAACACCATCCACCTGAGCTCCAAATATTTTCCACTACATTAGTTCGAAAAGGCTTCGGCAATCTGGTCGCGATTTCGGTTACATTTATCATGTAAGGTAAGACGATCTGTTCGTTAGTTTCTATGGCTTATGTTTCGGTTGGCGAGTTTGATAAACGTCTTTTGCTGAGGTTGCGTGAATAGTCGTTCTTCTGGAAAGCAGTCGTCAAATAGTTTTCTCCTTTTCTCCGTAAGGTTGATGTGCTACAGTGTCTTCGCTGTTTCGAATAATGTATTTATGCAACTGACTTTGTGTGCTGCTAGGTTGTTGGTATTTTAGTTGAGGATTTGATCCACATGAGTTGGTTTTCTGTATACTTTAGTTTCCCAAATACGTTCTAATGATCAGAACATCCAAAAATCTAAGTTTGTCATTTGATTCCCCTTCAATTTACAATTTGATGTCGTCGAAAACCTTTTTGATTGATATGTAAGCATTTTCCAATTTATTTCTCCTAATGATGATACACATATCACCTACATATGAGACCCAAAGGTTTTCTTTAATCAACGGCAATACCGCATTTTCCAATCTTCGCATTATTGCTTTCGCAATCACTCTAGATATAAGTGATCCTATTGGGGTCCTCTTTGTATTTTTGTAGAGGTTGCCGTTGAATTGTAAATATGTTGTAGGGTATAAGCAGTGCTTATGATTGACAACAAGTGAATCTACACAAATTCATGAACCGCACTAATGTTAAATAATTTCTGTACAATTCAGTTACTTTTAATTTCATTAAGCTACCTTTTTGAGATATAATTCTCAAAGAATTTTGTTCATAGGCTGGTCCGTAAAATCACTTCGACTTCGCAATTTCTAGGGTCAGGTTAAAGCTATTTCAACCAGTTGACATTCATTTCACAAGAATTGGTGATCTTCACAGTCTTTCATTGCTTAAGCATTGCATTACACTTGATCCGTGAATAAAAGTACCAAGCAGGTGTAATTCAGTTCATTTGCATTCGAAGATGCTGTGAGCTTTTGCTTAAACAAGCACTCATCATTCAAAACGGCAGAGAACTTTCAAAGCACATTTCCCTAATAACGATACTGACCGGTAAAAGATGAGAAAGAGACCGTTTCGACTGTACATATTTGACAAGTAATTTTGATGTTAAACACAGCTAAAATCGAATTCAACACATCGATTACTTGATGGTTAAACTGGGTCTTGTGGACATAGACTAGGTGATCTGAACTGAATTTCTAAACACACTGATCGCATGACCAGCGTATATAATGGAACGGTCTCAGATTTGTTGAAGTTAGTTCATATTTATACTTAGAGGATAAGAATTTAGTTATCATACTTGCTTTTTAAACAGAAATACAAAAAACACTTTGTTTGAGATTTCTTATCAAATGTTACTCAACCTTTGAGCAAGAACGAAAAGAACACTTTTGAATCAATAATACAAAACAGAATTACTGAAGACAGTTGTCTAATTAGCACTATTATTTTCGAGGTTCAATGGGATTGAATTTCTATTCATTGTTGTTAATAATAATGACCTATGGACGGTGATGGTAAATTTCACCATAAATTTTTTCATGGATCCGAAACCTGCCTGTTATACTATATTCTGAATTATTTACTGAAACACGTGTCCAGATGTCATGTGATCGAGACGAGTAGACATACATACGTCAGTCGATCACATGATAACCAGGCAAAATCGTACGTCTGAAATAAACTGGGGAACTAGAAAGCGGCTGACCATGGAAGTAGCACAGTTAATAAAGCACAAGAGCCTTAATACGGAGGCTACCTGCTCAGAAACCTATCGCAGTTCAGGTTTTCATTTCAATTTCAATCATCACTATGCTTGAATAATAGCATCTCACCAAACCATGACCATATCAAACTGCCCAAACAAAGTAGTAAGTTATATTGAACAAATACTTGAAAATAAAACTATTGGATGTTGTTAACCAAACATCACTAATTGCAATTATGGTGGTATCACAAAGATCTTATATCATTTGTTCAAAGTGTACTAAAGTATCAGTCTTTCGCTAGACACTGATACGTTAATGATGGATAAAGCTTGAGATAAACCTACTCATGATCAATGTATTCTTAATGTAAAAGGTCTACATACCATAAAAATGATTACTTCTAAGTTATTTCATAATTCATGGTGCTTTGATAGATATGAACTCGTATGGAAGATATCTGATAGCAAGAACATGTATCCCGTGTTCATGATTTCCTATGTTCGATTTACAGTTTCTCATAGAATGTACTTTTCAACATCAAATTTACTGTCATGTTTATGTAGGTGTAGTCTTGATTTTGCATTTTATAGGCATCATCATTTGAAAATGTGTACATTTTATCGATTTATGTGACTGAAAGCTAAAGGCGTTTCTTATTTAGATTATTTTATAAAATTTAGATAGATATTACAAACGGAAGTGATTGATATATATAGCAGATTTGAATAGGCGTTTCATGATTTCCACTTTTTACTGAGTTGCATCAAGTTATTATAAAACTGTTTAGTATGATTGGGAATTTTTTCACAAAAAAAACTAAATTTTTCGGTTATGATAAAAACTTTTTATTTTCCCACAAAATTCACAATCTTCTTTGTTTAGTATAACGTTTGGCGTTGGTTGGATATTCAAAACTGATTTCATCGATTTCAGTAGCCTTGCTTCTGTTTTCTTAGCATGCCTACAATTCATTAAATCCGTTAACACATTTGTCGCCATCGGATCTGTTATACACTATTCACGGTGATCAGTTTCAAAACATTCGCTCAGATGAATATGGAGTATTATAGTAAATCCTCATAAGGGAGAAGGTGAAAATTTATAGTTGAAACACAAGTCAGGTAGTTACTTGGCATGAAGAAATGAATAAAAAAGGCTTTTCATGAAATTCATTGCATGTCTCAGCAAACTCCACTGTCAGTCTTCACATTATCACTAACAGAGTTCTAAATGAATAACTAAGTTTAAAACAAATTTATCAGAATACAAAAAATGTGTCAAGATTCCAACCAAATTTAATTCATTTTAAATAATTGTGACAGGTTGCACTTATTTTTCTTTTCATCTTGGGAGAAATTGATTTGTCACTTCAAGAAATGTTGCAAATTTATTTGCAAACTTCGAAATTCTGTGTTCACCTATTTTTTGATCAGCCGTTTATTTTGGTTTAGCGATAGACTGGCATTTTTTTTTTACCCTATAATATATTTCCAGAGCTTGATCATAATTGTTAAATAGCAAATTAGCGAAGAAAATCTAATTGTAGTTCTGTCATTTTTATTTTCTGTCTGGATCACTGTCAGCATGTTTCTTTAGAAAAGTGTCAGTAACTGGATAATCCTAGTGGTTAAGAGGAGATGTACCAAAAATAATATTTTTATGATTTCAGCTGACAAATAGGAAAATGCAAACATATAGGAAGAAAAGTATTCACGTGCAATACCGTTAGAATTACGTAGAAGTTGACCTTAACAAGGTGTATTTATGTACTAAAAAGGTGGACAATAAATGAGGTAGATGAAAGACAGAATTATATGTACTGTTGTCCTTTCTCCTTTTTCTTTTTAGGATTTTTACACCTGACTGTGAAATGATCAGCATCCTAGTTTAAATAGTCGTCATATCTTCAGTCAGTTAGTCTAAAGCCTCGAGTAAGATTACCAAAAGTTATATAAAATAAAAATATATTCTGCATTAAACATCTTCCCTAGTGTGGTTACAAGACCATTCGACGTGAAAGCAATGGCTTGTATCGTAAGAGCCAGGCAGGTTTGTTGTCGGTGGAAAGAATTTATCTGAAGCTAAACCTTTTTCAAAGCATGTGAAATTTTTTAGCTGAAATGTGAAGAACTATTTTTGGACACGCTTGTCTGACGACTTTTATGCACGCACATGACGTACATCTGCAAGTGACTTTTCACACTGATTCAGTACTTCTACAAGTTCAGTTCGAATGGGATGGGCTCCTAATACAACTAATGATTGTTGTGCTCTAGAAATTGCTATATATATATATATATATATATATATATATATATATATATATATATATATATATATATATATATATATATATCACCGACATTTCGCTACGTGTAACATGTACAGGTTGGCTATGTGAACTGTTTGACGGTAACAATTTCCAATTATCTGTTTCTGACAAATTGTAGGTTGAAAGAATTGAGATTAAAGACGTTCGTCTACCCATACAGCTACAACGTGCAATGGCAGCAGAAGCTGAGGCGGCTCGAGAAGCTCGAGCAAAAGTGAGTTTACTTTAGAATGGTAAATACTTTTTACACTTTCAAATGGAAATGTTTGTCTTAGATGGATTCTGAAAGCAGAATATTATTTTCTAAATAGGCTTTTAATTGAAGTTGCAGACAATGTCCTAACTGGTTAATAAGTAGTTTTCTGAAAGTAACAAAACTTCCATTTTCAAACTAATCCACATTATGTTGTCGTTGATCATCTTACTCACTTGTGTGTTATATTCGACAGGATGAAATCTTTTACAATTATGGAACAGAAAGTTAATCTGAATTCACGGATGTCCCTTTATGTTCACTTTATTTTACTTTTAATGATCAATTCAGTTCGATAGATAATTGAGAGTTAGTTTTCATTGTTAATTAATATAAAATTCACCTAAAATGAAGAAAAATACATCTTGCTTGAGATATTCAAATATTTTCTTCTGTGCCAAACTAAAGAGATACACTAATTCAAAAAATGTATACAACTGACGATGAATTAAAACGAGTACCTTGAGATATAAACTATACATTTAGATTTTGATTTGCAATATAGAAAACTGAAAAAATTCAGAAGTAAATAGATTGTTACAAAGTTTGGTGAGTTATGTTGGTTTTTATGTTATGTTATTCAGTCAGATTTGTTGTAAGCAACAATGAGAAAAATAATGAGTTGTTATTACTGAATTTTATTATCATTCATTCATTCATTTTATCTATAGATTATGAACAATAAACAACGGCACTTGAACTTCTTCAACTAAGAAGGAAGTAAAGTACATTCCTAATCAGTAAAAGTACATTAAATGAACTTTTAGAACCAACTTGAAAACCGACTTCTAGTTCACAATCTATTCAAGTAATAGGTAGAAAAAGTAGCTACTCAAACTTGTTTATTCATATAAGATCAGATCTTTTTTCATTATCTTTTCAATACAAATGGGAATGATGTTAATCTGAAAGTAGGGACATCCCATCACAGCGTTAAGCTAGAGCAGTCATCAGGACATCTTATGCAGGTCGACTTTGTATGTCATTTAGTAGTCGGCCAGTGCTCAGTCAGAGACTAAAGAATAACCTACCTAATCTTACCTCTTCATCTTGCATGTATCACTTTAACTATTACTGTGAAACTGTTTACATAGGAAGCACGATTAGGCAGGTGCATCTCCGGATACGGGAGCATTTACCACCTTCGTTCGGAAAGGGTCAAAAGAAAGTGGTGAAAATTTTAGTTTTAGGGCACCTAGTCGACACAAGGCATCATATAGATGCTAACAAAGCTTTCAGTGTCATCTATCGTGTTCCCAAAACGACACCACGTGTAGCTCACCAATGCCTGCTCGACATAGCGGAGGTTATCGCAACAAGATTGATGAAGTCTGAACTCTGCGGTTAGAAAGAACCTGTCTAAGCGTTACTTCTTCCTTGGCCTTCAGCTAACTAAAGGCCACTCCTGCTATCTTATTCTTCATCTTTTCGTTTCACCGCCATATCAATCTTCTGTATATCGATCTTTCCAATATTGACTAATTTAAAAAGATAGGTCGATTTCCTTCCATTCTCTAGATCTCACTCCATTTTGAAAACATAACTGTCCATTACATGGCTTGTTTTTACGCCGTACAAATGCATTTTATAATTGTAGAACTTGAAGAGAATTTATTGAAAAGAATATTCTTCGTTCAGATTGTTACTTTTTATAGTTACTTTAAAAATTAATAAAACTAAAAATTACAGGACTGATTTTGGTCAGTACAATAAGCAAGGCTCTGACTCAATTTATCTGCAGCTCAGTTCATCTCTTTTCTCAGGTAGAATACAACTTACCAAGTTGCACAACCAATGTTATACTACAAAGAAAACGCTGACTTTAAATAGAGTATTCCGCCTAACTGAAATGAGTTTCTAGGTCAAGAAAGGTCTTTTAGGTAAAAGACGTCTCTACGTTCCTTCCTACAAATGAGATGCTTTGGTAGGATGAAGTTCATTCGACTTTTACCGAAAACCTAAACAACCGAAAAAATAATTTATTTTGTTGTTCGGAATTAAATATGTATTTTGGGTAAAATGTAAAAGCTGATATGATGTGTAAGTGTTTTAAATACATTTTTAGTAAACAGTGCTGTCATTTCAACTCAAAAATGACACAGATCTTCATGCATAGACAACTTAAGCCGAAATCTTATGACTAAATCACTTCAGTACAGGCAAACGGTTATCATACTGGATTGCCACTTTGAGTGAAAACATAAGGTTACTGGGCAAAACTTATTTTTTATCTTTCAGTGAAGATGTAAAAAAGGAACATCAAAAGAAACGACACTATGAATATTCATTCAATTAAAACAGAGGACTTAAAAGGTAGTGACGAATTAGGCCGACACCCTACATAATATTTATCAGTCTCAATGATATGAGAAAAAGAAGGGCAACATGTCAGTCATAATTTTCAGGCTGTATTAGTTTCAGAGGTCGATTTCTATAAGAATAGTCTAGCAAAATTCATTAAGTCTAACGGATCAAGAATGTGTCGTTGATGACTACACTGATCTTTTTATGAAAGTAAATATTCTGAAGTCATTTATCCCGTTATCCACTCATTAAACATTAAGAAAAAGAATTTAAGGGTTTCTGTGACGCAACGAAATGCCCTATTCAAAGTATGCAGTGTCGACGATCAAATGGGGTAAATGCCTTCTGCAAAAACAAACCTGAGGAGCTCACTACGGTTAATGATACCATTTAGCATTCAGTAGTCATCATTTGAACCCAGACAAAGATTTAGTTTTTTAAACTTACAGCGGAAATGTCATAACTTTACTGGGCATCAAAAATACCTAACTTCCAACTGCTTTTTGAGTTAACAAGTGTAAGTGACTTATTAACTTGTTTAAGGTCACTAAAGACTGTCTGTTTTCTTGCTTTGATCTGCTGACTGAATGAAAGTCATGATACATTTGTGATTCCGTCTGTGTTTCAGAAACCACACACCTCTGGCATTTTCAAAGTGATTCCTACCAATAGGCATCAGTGTTTGCGAAATTTCAGTTTCTGAGAAGGAAAAGTAAAAGAAAACGTTTGGCTTTACGTAAAATCCAAATATCTGTAAGGTTGCAGTGACATTACGATGAAAATGTTTTTTGAATATTGTCAAAACATTGTTTAAAACACTTAACAAAAAGCAGGTTATACTAGGAGAATATAAATGAAGATTTCGGAATGCTTCCTATTCATATGCATGTGAGAAGGCATAGGCCATATTGCTATAGATATGCAAAACACTGGATGCTTTTATCGACAAACGATTATCTCACATATAGTGTGATCAAGAATGCACATACGGTAAAGTAACGTTAGCACACCAAATATGGGGTACATCAATACAATCCATGCGCTGTTTGGAGCCACAGTAAATGAGTGTAGATGACAACCAGTGTGATTTAGCAAAAATGTCGATTTTCAAAATAAAACACTCTTGTTTAGTGTATCGTACAACAGAGAACAAGAATACAGAATTAAAGAGTTATATGATGTGCAGATGATGCTTCACAGTAAAGTTAAGGATTTCGGGATTTTCAAAATTATTTCCGAAGATATGCATTTTCTTGGCACCTGAAAAAAAGAGATTTGAGTTCGGAAGCATCAGTGATATTTATAAAAAAATGGGAGAAATTAGGGTTCGGTAAGACAACAAAAGGATATCTGTCTAGTGATTGCCCACTAGATGCATTGACTGTGGCATATTTTGTTATCCGCCCAATACACATATGTAAAAGTCACAGTCATTTATGGCTCTGTATATCACTTTTTCATTGAGATGCTACTTGTGCTTACACTATTTCAATAAGAGCTGTTTAATTCACCTTTTCTTGGTTTTACTATTCACCCCAAGGTAATTGCTGCTAAAGGTGAGCAAGAAGCAGCTAGGTCGTTGAAAGAAGCGGCCAAAGTTATCTCTACTTCGCCAATGGCATTCCAGTTGAGATACTTGCAAACACTGTGTGCAATATCAGCAGAAAAGAAATCAACTATTTTCTTCCCGGTACCAATTGACATCATGCAGAACTTGGGCAACGTTTCTGGACCAACACTGGGACAGTTACTTGATATGCGGAATCAAAAAACTGTGAAGATACCTTCAATGAGTAAACTACAATGTCCTAAACGTAATGAACTAAAAACTAATGAGACTACTGGGCCAATCTCTTGTCATCCAAGTTTAACTTGTAGTCAGAATGAAACGAAAGTTATTCGTCAAAACTTACCGTATTCAGCGCAGCATATTGCTGAACAACCTTGGCCTCAAGCATTCGATATGAATAGAGAAATACAAGAATCAAGTTGGGCAAATGAGAATGGAGACACACATAGTGATACAGTTTAATTTAATTGACTAATGATTGTACCCTGCAGTGTTTATAAAGAGCGTCAAGCTATTTCTTACTCAAAGTTATTAGGTATAAAGTTTATGATAAACTAATTCCACACATAACGAACATGCCAAAGTATTTTAATATTGCCTGGATTTGATTCAAGCACACTTAAATGTTTCAACTATGTGGTTTCTGCATTCTGGCCAAAGAAAATCCAATATATATATATATATATATATATATATTTATATATATATATATATATATATATATATGCTCACCGTTGGGTGTTCTTCCCATCGTAAGAATCGGTTATCTAGATATTTTTGTGAATAATTTTGACTATGTATTTACCCATGTATTTATCAGAATACATAAATACGCTATTGTGAGATACTGGTTTACTGTTTTATTTTGTCATGGTTAGTAAACTTGTATTAACTAGTTAATACATGTGTTTTGCTCCGATAAACAATAAAATATACTAGATAAGTTGTAATCATATTCAAACAAGAATGCTTAGATGAAGTCTTCTGTTGCAACAACTGTCAACATTCGAATCTTCATACCATCAGACAAATATCACAAGCAGAGTATCGAAGATGACCTGTTTATGTCAATGTCAGAATAACAATTACATTGGTAAAATTCCCTACTACCACCCGCACAAAATATCCAGTTATATTCAGTTTACAAGGGGATACACTTCAAAGCTGTCTTATTTTTGGTGTCAAGCTTGAGAACTGTGGGTGATATACAATACACGTCAATAAAATATTGCCTACTAGGTGATATTTTGAATACAATTTAGTGCTTAAAATCAAATCAAGCGGATTATTTAACTTCACGACTTTCTTCACACATTAAATGCTTTTATTTAAAAAGGTCTATAACAATAATTTCGCATTTGTTTGGAAATGATATGAAGTGAGTCAGTGTTGAATTTATCGTAAGTGCAAGAATCTTTCTTACCGGAAGAGGTCCTTACGTAACTTTTAGCAGACTATCTAATGGTCTACCGAGAAGGCACGATTTGACTAGCAGACCTTCAGAATAACACATAGTACAACTACTTAAGCGCCGACGAGGTGGACAAAACGTTGTTGTTAAATCTGTGAAGGAAGTTAAATGTCTTCATCTTGATAAATGTCATGCATGAAATCAACAGTATAATCATTCACACGCCTGTTTTCTTCGCTATTTCTGTTCCCTGTTAACCATCTGGCCGTTTATGAACAGTGATGACTTAATGCTAGTGCTAGGGTATCTTTTACAGAGAAATAATAATAATCGCTTTATTCCAAACAGTATGTATGATAGTATAAACTTTTCAGCATGTAGTTTTTCAACAAATTCACTCCCTGAACAATAATTTCAGAATAAATGGTTATTGCATTTGCATTGTATTGTTAATAAAAGTGTTCAAGGCAGTAATATGAAATAGCCATCTGGCTCTGGATAGGCGTCCGGTCCATAATGAAGAGTCAGCGGAAATGCAAGCGTAATTTTAACGGTGGTGGCTCATTCAGACGGTGAAAAATCTGCAACTCAAGTTTTATGCACCGAAAAGTCCATTTCCATAAAATGCAAAATTTTTTCATGCTTTGTTATTGATTCGAGAAACGGAGAGTTGAAAACAATTTAAAAATATGCCACAGTAAGTTCAAAAGACACATTTAAGCGATAAAAACAAATCGAAAGGGAAAAAAATTGATGAAAATGTTCGATGGATAAATTTGGTAGCCAAAGGTTTAAGCAGATCGCTTAAGAAAGTGACACCTGACATTTGTCACTGATACCCTAACACTTAAGAATAATATTTATACACAGCTAACTGTAAAGAAACACTCATAGTAACTCTGGACCTGAATAAATGGGAAATAATGATTTTTAATATCAACCGTTTTCAAGCTTATGTTTGTAACACATTTACTAAATGCAGGTGACTATTTATTGAGAAAAGGGATCTGTAACTGAAATCTGACCTGAGTGTTATAACAGCGTGATAAGTGATCTCGCGCTGATAGGATGTTGAAACTTAGCTTACAGCTGAATAAAGCCAGCAGCTTCAAAGACTAAATTGACAATGAGTAACCTGTGACAGAACTACGTGTAGATTTAAAAGATGAAAACACAACAATTCTAATAAACTGATATTCATAACTGTTTAGCAAATGAAGGTGCCATAATTATAAGGAAGAATTTTGGCAAAAAGAGTTACAAGTTAAAAATCTGTTCTCCATACTTCCATTTGACTTTTTTTAAAGAAATATTTTCTCCTCAGTTGTTGGGTTATGTGCAATTTTATGACCAAATAGTTGTAATGAATCTGAGTAAGTATCCTATGGCTGTTTTTGGGCTTGTATCATCTGACATCATTGGGTCTTCATGGCACCTTTCAAGATTAAAATCTTCAGCGTGTTCTGTTGGTCAATATTTCGTCATTTGAATGTTGTTGACAAGCATCATAGACATATCAGAACACATGATATGATACATTTATAAGTGATGCAGCTGATTCCATGGATACCTCTCTGTTTGCTTTCTTCGAATAACTTGGCTCATATAATGCTTTGTGCTGACTTACTCGATTGTACTGCAATGTATATTCCAAGCCTTTTCAACTGTTTACTTTTGAAATATTCACAAGGTACAGTTTGTTGTGTTTCTAACATTCGATTACTCCTTGCTCACTTTTCCAAGACATTTATTTACTGATATTCTGGAGGGATTCGTCAAGCAGATACTCCCTATTGTACTATTCTATTTCTATACTTTGTTTTATTTCTTCGCTACTTACTACTTAGTTTTGCAAAAGGTTTCAATCGTCTTGTATAAATTAGTGGTTGTCATATTTAACTAGTTGGTTTGATTAGTATGTTTTGCCACGAGCTTGAGTTTTCTCTTTCCATTCTCATGAAAAATGATAGATCGGAATACGGTTTATTTATGCTAGTTTCTGTTTTTTAAAAAATTCTCACTCGCAAATGTAGTGATTACACTTTACTGTCAGTAATTACTCTGTTAATCAATACGCTAAAGTCACCGTCGTCTAACCAATGGGTGAATTATTCATCAGGTGCCATTATTCACCCATTCCCATATCAGTTGACCATGACTATAGTGAAAAGTCGTGACCTGTCCTAAAATTAAAACATGTTAACTTCATTCAGGTGAGGGAATGAAATTCGATAACAATTTTGGAATACAGTGTTCCAGTAAGATAGGTGAACAACTGACTGTTCAGGAAGAATCTAACCTACATTTGACATTTTATGCAAAAATACTCTATTTATGCATATAAGTGTGTACATGATCGTGTAAACAAATCGACATTTAAACCAGTAAACAGTAGTTATTTAGGTAAACAAAACAACAGAGAATACGTCCTTCTAGCAAACATTTGCTTAGTGTAAATAGTAAAAGAAACCACAGGCAGAGATAACAGTTATATCTGATTATATAAAATATTAAGTGTGCTTGTAATTTAAGCTAATATTTATTCTCAAATTCAGCAAGCATATAAATGTACACAAACGCATACATGAATACGAAAGAAAAAGATGAAGTCTAGTTTGTGGAAATGTTACGAATGATTAAGCTGAGGAAGTAAATGTTGATGAATAGGCTATTTCTAAAAAAAACTAGTTTTTGAAGCTCTGCCTTGGGTACATTTCTCAATATTTAGACTACATATTTCAAATTCTGTGAGCTGAAACTTGAGTGCGCGCTTAGTGGAATAATTTGAGTTGAATAAATTGATTAGCTAAGTCCTTTTATATCGGATCAACATTAAATTGAAAATAACTGATGGAAAAATGAAAACGTGCATGCGGCTGTTTCGGTTTTAATTTGTAGTTCCTGGCAGAGTGAGTCACACTATCTAACTAAATAAGGTGAGAAATTTCAATTACGGTGGTCAACGGCTTAAGTTATAGTCATTAATTTTACTAAATTGGTTCAGTATTTTCTTTTCACCTCAATAAAAAATAGTGCAGTAATTTGACAAATAAATAATTATTTACTGGTTATTGTTTCATAGACAATGAATCAAAAAACACCAATTAATATATATCACAACAAACTAATACAACATAGTTTTTGCTCAATATATTGACACCTTTATCATCAACTTCACTGTAAACTAATTGTAAGGTGACTTTACTCATATTCCACTATCTGCTAAAAATGAGGCATTTTTAGACTCATGTGGTTGATTAAGCTACATCCAGATTTCATATATCGTATATGGCTAACATATAATCCGGTCTTTGATTGGACCAAACTAACCAGCCTGCATTAGAATATGGGCTTGCGCATGGGTCCCTTGGTATTGCTTTTCCTTTTAATTTTTTGGTAATGATAGATAGTGAGTTGCCAGCAGCGGTTTCCAGAACGCATATTTCATCCTGTTTGTGACTCGTTAACTGGATATACCTGCCCCAGGACGAAACGGTCTTCCTGGATTCCACTCCTAACCATTCACTATCCGTCATCACTATAAAACAAACTACAGGCAATATCAAATCATTCTAGCGGCAGCCCATTTTCCAAAAGAGATTGATCATTTCGCTATAACTGAGGATGGAATAATACAAGTCGCAACACAAAAACTATACCCGTCGAACAAGAAATAGCTATCGTGACTTGGTGGCCTAGTGGACAAGGCTTTGGAGTTTGAAGCGATAGGATTCCAGTATTAGTGGGAACAACTTCACTCGCGGCTGACAGGTCTATACAGCTGACAAGTTCTAAACGAGACCAAAAGTACGTCCTGGATTTCGCTGCTAGCTATCACCCATCGCTGCCATAAAACTTTAGAAAAGGTTAATCTTATGCTATTTTATCATTGCAGGTCCCATAGATGGTCAATTTCACCAGGCAACTAAAAATATCACCTCCCTGTAAATCAATCCAAGTTTAAGTCACAGGCATCTCATAAAACTTGACTATCAATTAATTTCGGCCGATCAGTTCATCAGATATTAGATGCGAATGTAGGCATACACTGATTTAGAAATAACACCACGTTAGTTGCGTTCTAAGTTTTGTAACTGCATCCAGTATCCTATGATCGAACTCACTGAGTTAAGTGGATAAACATAATAGAGAGAATTAGGTCCGTTACTGAAGCCATTTAGGATTACTTTCGTTCTAACACTCATCACAATACGCTGAACAAACATCAATGAGAACATAGAAATTCTACTAGTT